TCTGTTTGGAAGCCCTGTGTGTGAAAATCAGCTGTCCTGACCCATAAGGAGAAATAGCTTGTGTTTCCTTTCCTGCTTTATAATGTTTGTGATGCTTGAGATGTTTTTAAGAAGACATTCAGGGCTGGAGACTCTTTAGAATAGTCCAGTTCCCATTACAGCTCCCATTATATCCCAAAACTCTTCCCCACCTCCCTCAACCATACTCAGATTTGGAAGCAGGAAACATCGAATGCAGAAATCTGCCATTTTTCAAAGCAGTGCCCACACTTCATTTACCTTTCTGAGGCTTTCAGAGACAATCAGAGTTTACCCCCATGACTGCATGCAAAACATTATCCAGGGAGACTGCTCTGAGTCACCTCTTTGCAACAGGTATAACTAAAGTTTGTGTTTCTCTCCTGTGTTTGCAGGCCCAGTCCCTTCTCCGGTGGCATGATTCCCACCAGTACTGTAGCAAAACTGGGCAGCCCACTCAGAAAAACCCAGCTGGCAGCAAGCGTGTCTGCCAGGCCAGTGGAATCACCTACTACCCCCAGGTGAGCACCTGGACAGCAGAGGGAAGGAAAACATGGGACTCTGGGTGGCACAGAGGGAAGGAACACAAGGGACTCTGGGTGGCACAGAGGGCACTCAGCAAGCAGCAGTGAGGGCTTTGTGTGTGTAGCTGGGTGCTTTGTCTTTAGTGTTCATCCAGTGGCCCTCAACTAGCCAGGAAAGGCAACAATTTCCACTTACCTGTTGGGTGTGAAGTGGCTTTGCTCTCTGCTGCCCTTGGCAGGTGTCTCCAGTGGTCATCACCCTGGTGTCCGACGGCAGCCGCTGCCTCCTGGCCCGCCAGCCCTCCTTCCCCCCGGGCATGTTCACGGCTCTCTCGGGCTTCTGTGACGTGGGTAAGCTGGGCCCCGAGGCAGAGCAGTGGCCTTGGGCTTGCAGGGTGTGGGAACACCTGTTCAGGGAGAGGGATGGACGCACAGCTGACGTGTGTCCCCATCCCTGGAAGTGTCCAAGGCCAGGTTGGATGGGGCTTGGAGCAGCCTGGGCTAGTGGAAGGTGTCCCTCCCATTGCTGTAGTCTCTGCTGGTAAATGTAAGTTTTAAACTCCCCAGGTTGGAAGCTCTGATACTTTTTTAGTCCATTTTGTGGCTAGTGCAGTCTGGCTCGGAAGGAAGACTACAGACCTCTCGTTACAGGAGGGAAAATGGCTTAAAAGGGGAGATGTTGAGTTGTTCTGTATGTGGACAGGGCCAAAAAAATTCTCTGGTAGCTGTGTTTACGGGATGAGTTGATGAGTTTAATGGAGCATCCTGCTGACAAGCGTTTCCAGGTCAGCACAGGGGCTGGAACCCCTGGGAAATGAGCAGTTTTCCTTGCTGCCCGGGGGCCGGGCCGTCCTTACCCACCTTTGGTTGCTCGCAGGTGAAAGCGTGGAGGAGGCGGTGCGGCGGGAGGTGGCAGAGGAGGTGGGGCTGGAGGTGGAGTCGCTCCGGTACTCGGCGTCCCAGCACTGGCCCTTCCCCAGCGGCTCCCTGATGCTGGGCTGCCATGCCCTGGTGGGAGCACAGCAGGCTGAGGTGAGCGAGCCCGGGCTCCCCGAGGCATTCCACTGCAGCACATCCTCTCTAAATGCAGCTTTCTCTACAAGTGAAGAACGAAGTTCAAAATAATCCTATTTTCTGTGGAGATGTGGCAGATTTTGCAAGGTCACTGTACATATACAAGTCCAGCACCCAGTTTTGCAGAGGAGGTTCTCTCTAGTGTTAACATCACATCTGCCACAGGACAATCAGGTTCTGCCCTGTTAATTACTGTGCTCAGTCACTGGTGCTTTGCAGGCTCAGTTAGGATCCTTTGCCCACCAAAGGACCTGGAGCAGACCCACTCCACAGGCCAATGCCATGATGGAACAGTGTTTCCCTGGGAAACCAAGGCAACAAAGCACTGGTGGACAGTAATGTCCTCAGGCATGGATAAAGCACTCTGGGCATTCTAGCACAGGATCCTTGTGGGTACAAGAGCAAGCAAGGTACCTCTGCCCACATTTAAAGCTGGTTTGAGGGACTGGTGCTCTTGGATTCTTTCCAGATCAGTGTGGACAGCCTGGAACTGGAGGAAGCCCGTTGGTTTGGCCTGGAGGAAATCGTGGAGGGCCTCAAGAGAGAGCCCAGATCTTCAAAACAAGATGATGGGAGTTCTTTACCCTGGTTCCCTCCCAAACAGGCCATTGCTCACCAGCTGATCCGTGAGTGGGTTAGGCAGCAGAGTGCCCAGGCTTAGGCAGGGCTTCATCAAGTCTGGGATTCCACCAGAACCATGAAAGCTCCACAGAAAAGCTTCCAAAGCCACTGGAGGCAAAGGCTGTGTCACAGTGAGGACAGCACCACCCTGAAACTCAGATCCACTGGCCTCCAAAGCCACGTCTGATCTGATCACCCTCAGACAGTCCCACATACACTGGGTCTCCTCTGAGATCCCAAGACTTGCAGTAAATGCACAATAAAATTCTTAGTTCCAAAGCATCAAACTTGCTGTGATCAGCTGACAGTGAGCCCATGGCACCTTTGTCCCTTTTTCCTCCATTTTTCCCATCTTGGATGGATATCAAAAGCACAGTCTTTCCAGGAAAAATAAAAGGACAGTGACATAATCTTTCTTTGGATCTGGGAGAGCTATCAAAAAGAAGAAGAAAAGCCACTGCTTGTATGCTCTCCCCTTCTTCTGTCTCTCTTCCCATTCAATCTTCTAGTTTCATATAAAACACCCAGGTTTGGTTGGGGTTTTTTTTTTTGCAAATGGTAAATGGGCTTCTACTCTGTTGATACATCTGAGCAACTGAAAATGTCTGTAGAGGCACCATTTTCCCCACCAGTTGCTCTCATCCCAAGGGAGAGAGAACAGAGCTATCTGGTGGTAGAGAGGGAAAGAGCAAACCCTACCCAAAGGTGTATTAGAAGAACCCAGATGATGCAAAGGTGACAGGAGCTGCTGCAACAAGGACTGCACTTCCAACAGGGAAAGACCCTGAAAGGAGCAGTGCCTCTTACCCTGAGGCCAGAGTCTGGGGCTTGCCTGGAGAGCTGGTCTCGTTTTACTGATGGAATGGTACCATCCCTCTGGAGGGAGAGCAGCACAGAGGCAGTCTGGGCAGGGCAAGCTTAGTGCAAGAGCCAGATGAAAGGATGTTTGGGGTGCTGCTGATCCAGGCTGACAGTCCTTTGTGCCTGCTCGGTCAGAGTTCAGCTGCCAAGGCTGCAAAGCCATCAGTGTGGGGACTTGGAGGGGGGACAGGGATGTGTCAGTGCCTGCCACTGCTGGGACTCACTGCGGGGGAAATCTCAGTCCTGCCACCTGAGCAGGGAGCAATAAAGAAGGCTTGTCACGCTGCTCAGACACACTTTGTGTCCTCAAGTTGTTTTTAGTTCAGGAGGTTGGGAGGGGATTCTTTCAGGACTTGATAGCATATTCCAACACCCTTCCTAGCCTGACTCTCAGTCAATAAAAGCCCCGTGTCAGAGCGTGTCTGTCATGCCTGTGAACTCCATCTGTCACTCATCCTGGGAGGAATATACTGCAGTGCAGCCAAGGGCATTGCTGCCTCCCCTCAGCCAGCCAGACACACCACAGGAGCCCTCACACCACTCAACTGCAACAATTCCTGCATCCAGCTTCCTTTGGAACATGGCTCACAGCCCCTCTTCACAGCAGGTCCTTCTGCTTTTCTCTCCCATCACACCACTTCAGGCCCCCAGCATTTCTCTCTTGTTCTCTCATTTTTGAAAACTGCCATTTTCAGCCTCACTCCTTTCCTCCCCTTCTCTGCAGTACAAAATACTGAAGAGTTAGATACCTGCCAGCAAGATATTCCAGCTCCTCATCCTCCTTCTGGCTTCTCCTTTAGCCCTCCCAGTTCACCCTTAAGTTCACTAATGTGCCCAAACTGCTTCCAGGATACATCCATCTCGATGTACTTTATTAAAGAGTATTAAAAAATTACTAGTTTTTAATATCCACACATGATCCATTCTCCCAGTGGCAGAAAAAGGACCCTGGGACCAATAGGTACTGCCTGCCAATACAGAAGAAAGTCTGAGGAAAAGCAAAGCTGTTCTCTCATTTGTTTGCTCCTGTGACCTCTTAAAACAGCTTTAAACATCTGCATGTTCTTTTTTTAATTATCAATAAGAAAAAAGTCTTTTCAATCTACTCAAATACTTCTTTTTTTTTTTTTTTTTGTTCCAAGGCAATATTCTCATCACATCTTTTGAAAAGCATTAAATTTTATAAAATCCTTAGTCCATACCCCCTTTGACTGAGTTATGAAATGATATTGGTGGCCTCTGTTCCAGGTGTTAGGTAAGCAGGAATGATCACAGGCACACAGGACAGAAAAACAAGGTGAGACACACGTTGTTCTCACTTGCATTTGGCTCAGAAATGTGTCTGAAGCCTGAAGAACACACTGCAGTCAGGACAGGACATGCTCCATGAAGGCAGGTGACCTAGAAAAAGGAGCAGGCAATTCCTGACAGATGCTTCCTCAACAAAACACAGCAGGGCTTTCCCGTGGAAAAGGTATCAGCAGGCAAAAGGGGTGGAGCAACATATTTCCCTCTCAGGAACACATCCCTGAACTGAATCCTCTTTGGGAATGCTTGGTTCTTACCAATCCCTGAGCCCCCACTGCCTCCAGGGACTGCAAGGGAGCAGTGCTGAAAAGCTGCCAGCCTGGGCCATTACAGCCCAGCTGGTTACAGGGATCACCAATCAGCAGGATATAAAATAATACAGGCAGCTCTAAAATAAGAACATTCATCCAATTAACATGAAGTTTTTGGAGAGCAATGCAGGCAGGTTCAGAGCAGCATTCCACCTACCTCCCAAAAGCAACAGGGTATAAAAGTCATGTTTATCTCTACCAGGTGCCAGCAGAGGATTAAAGTAACCAAAGCACACGACACAACTTGTCTATCTCTGAATGAGGGAGCAAAAAAAAATCTTACCTGGAAACGGTGTGGAGTGAGAATTCATCACCTGGGCTGCTCTGCTGCTGTGTGGAAAGGCCACATGTTCTTGCCCAGAGGGACAGTCATCATTGTGAGTGGCAGAAGGTCTGAGCTCAGCATTACAGGTCCAGGAGGAAGCTCTTAACATCAGGGAACCACCTCACCCCGTGAGACACGGGTCTGCTCTGAATGGGATGTTCAGCCTGAGAGGACACGAGCACTTAATGGAACACCCCAACAATGTGACCCTCCTAAAGCCATTTGCCAGGGAAACATTCCTCAGGTAACCAGGAGCAGCTCAGCTGTGGCAGCTGCCAGGGACAGGTCGTCAGGACAACCTGTAATTACACAAGTACCATCCCTCTGTTCACTCTGAGGTGCCACTCAAACAAACTCAGCTGCCCCAGCCTTCAGCTCCCATCAAAAACTGACTCACTTTCCAACCCAGCAACAGATGGAAAGCAGCTGTGTCGGGGGGAAAAAAGACTGCCAAGTGTTATTCATGTGGCAGTGGATACACCTGGGAGTGAATGAGCACAGCACCACCAAAAATGCTTCTGTTAAAAAAAAAAAAAGAGGCTGTGTTGCCAACCTGGAGATGGTGTGACCTCCATTTTCCTTTCAGACCCATCAGTGGTATTTTGAAGGCAATTAGGTGCACTGAGAGATGTCCAGAATCATCTTTGCATGGAGAAACTAAAATCTGGCATCAGCTGTGACAAACAGGAGAAAGATCCCAGGAGCAGAAATACAGATTGCCCAGCTCCCTCACGGGGAGAGCAGCACTGGCACAGGGACAGAAAAGGCTGAGAGAACATCCTTTTCCACTGGGGCCCTGTGCTCAGGGGAGAGAGCATCCTTTAGACAGTGTTCTCCACTATTTCTGTTAGTGGGAATACTGCCAAGGGACACAGCAGGTTTACTTTTACATTAAAAGAAGCAGAAAAAAAAAGAATGAAGATGAGGCTTGGGGTATGGACAGAAGCAAATTCACACATGGTCTGATAGTTTAACGTGGCTGCTGTGAGCATGCAGCATGGAGAGAGCCTAAATTAACTGGATTACATTCCAACACTGTAACTGGCCTTAAAACTGGAGGTGAGGTTAATAACCCTCCCCAGGTGAAAAAAAGGTCTGGTCTAAGCTCATTTAGATCAATATCCTGCAGTCACTGGGTATCATTAGTCCTTTTTCCCATCAAATTATGAACTCTTACTGGAAATACCTCATTTCCTGTCACCTACATCATTTTTTTGGCATAAACTGAGCTTTACCTTCACAATAGCTTTGCTCTTCACTTCCCATCCTCGTGCCCTTGTGAAGATCCATCAGGGAGCATTGACCCACTTGAGCCATGGCTCCATTCCCAACAGCAATTCCTGCTTTTACACAGGAGTAACACACCCTGTGATGTTCCTCTGTGTGTGGTAATCACTTCACTTCTTAGATACAGTTTCACATCACAAAGTTGAGTTGTTCATGACACTCTTTTCCATGACACTGAGCAGATACTCACCAAGATTTCACCCCCCCGACCTCATATTGTTGAACAACTCCCTTTTTTCACTAGCTCTGTAGTCTGCTGTTTAAGCCAAGAACCCAAACTGCCCTCCATGGCAGGGAGTTTTCTTAGGGGAATAAAGCAAGCTGGAAAAAGAAATAAATTTCCATCCTGGACGTGCCAGAACAGATGCTCTTGTGTTCCACTCCAAAGACAGAAATGGCAGGAGGGAGGGCAGCTGCTGCTGCAGCCTTTGCAGCATCCCAAGGGATCCTGAGGTGGCACAAAGGGCCTGCCCTGGCTCCTGCTGCTATGGAAAACAAATTCCAGTTTCTCAGACAAGCAGCTGCAGCAGGAGCTGCACAAACAGTCACTAAAAGTGCTTTTCCACCACTGCAACTCCCAGGTGCCTGGGGATGACTGTCATTCCCGAGGTGCTGGGAAGGCAAGGCAGCAGGCAGGTGTCCTGCAGGGAGGTGCTTTCCCATGGCAGCAGGGAGGCTGCCACCCACTCACACCTCAGGGATGCTGGGAGCAGTTAACTTGCACAGGGATTCCAGGGCTCCTGAGACTGGAGCTCCAGAAAGCTTCTCAGTGGCAAGAGTGGCAACAGCCGAAGTGCCCAGGTATCCAGAAGAGTTTAAACAGGTCTCTGCCGTGCCCAAGGGGTTAGTTTTGATCTCCTGTATGGAAGGTGAAAGATCCACTATCTGTTTTCTTGCTTTAAATCTACCAGTCAACAACTAAACAGGCTTCAGGGGTGAAGCTCGAAGGAGAAAACCACATTGCTGGGAAGGGTCACAGGTTCCAGGATGAACAAGGCTACACAAAAAGGCAGCTGCTCAAGTGAGCAAAGTGAGTAAATTGTGTTGGAATGCACTTCCAGTCAAACTGCTTTGGAATATAATGAAAACTTTGATAGCAATCCGTTGAAAGGGAACCACGCTGCACTTGTCTTCCCTAATTAATTCCATCAGGCCTCCCTCCCCAAAAACACTCCCGAAATTAAAAGCAGAGATGCCTCATATGTTACTTCAAAGCAGCGAAGGGGCAGCATGGAAATGCTCATCCCTCAAGAGCAAACTCTCCTGTGAGCGATTCCAGAGCCTTGAAGGCCTTCACTGTGAAGCTGCTAAACAAATGTAAACAGCTGGAACAGAAACCACAGTCTCACTGATGGAGAACTGAGATTATCCAAGCACCAAGATCAGCTGAAGTGCTTCCAAAAGAGCAGCTTTGTTCTGAACATTAGTTGAGAAGTTTTCTTCACATACTACAACAGAAAAGTCCTTCCATCTGTTTCAGCCTTTTGTGTAGTACCAGAGAGTGGAATGTGATCATCTTCTTGAAACTCAATTATTTTTACAGTATCTAACTCTGATTTAAGTACTCATCAGTGGAGAATTTTCTAAGTACCTTCCCTGCTCAGACACAAGCCCTTTTCAAGGCTCAGGTACATCTGTTTTCCATGACTAACCACTGGCTCTCCGTGTCTGCTGGATCCCAGAAGTCCTGTTAGCCCGAATGTTCCAGTGCCATTTGTCTAACTGGATCTGCAGCCCACCTTGAACTTCAGCAGCATCCTTCCCATTCTTGTTGTCCATCTCTGATCCCTATCCCACTTGTCAGCATTCTCCCCGAGCTGCTGACAAACTCAGTGACACGACACCAGCAGAGGACAGATGTGGAGGCAGCACATCCAACCCTTCAACCACACTCATTCCACGTTTCACGTGCGGAATCTCCAATATTTATCTTATACTGGAGCATTTTACCAGCTTTCTGTCATTTGCAAAAGCAAGCAAACACTTGGGAAAGGAGAAACCCAGGAGCACAGGTCAGCAGAAGCTGGGAAGCCAAGCAGCCACTGTGCCTTGTGGAGGTCCTGAATTTCAGTGAAACTATGCCAAGCTGGGCCAGAATTTTCCATGCATTGGTTGTCATGGCAGTCAGGCACAAACTCAGCATCCAGCAAGTGTCCAAGCCCTACATGGAAACAACTTATGCTACATTCTGCTTTGGCAATTAAAATAAGGCCAACACTTGACATTAAAAAAAAAAAAAAAGATATTAAGCCAAAGAATTCAACTAATTGTATTCCAATATTTAGACTAGTAATAACATCAATAATAACAATTCAGTCCTCTAAAAGCAATCATGTTTCAGGATCAGTCAGGCTTTTGTATCACTGAATACTATGTTTGAAAAAACCCAACACACAAACAAACAACAAACAAAAACTCAACCAATAAGCTTCTCTTCTACCAGTTCAGGCACTTGATTAATTGTTGAATTAAAACAAACAACTTGATTCAGACCTGGCAGGACTGTGTTCTTACTGCCTGCAAATCAAGAATTTTAACTCAAATGGATTTTGTTAAAGGTAAAGTTGTCATATCTAGAATGTATTTCTGATTCCATGTGAAAGCAACACGCTGCACACGCCTCCCAGCTACATTTTCACTGGAAAACAAACCTAAACTGTTCAGCTCACACAGCTCACACACAGCTACTGCTGGCATGATGCCAACACCCAGCAATAATGGAATTCAGAAAATGCCCAATTGGGAAAATGCTTTAACTCCAAGAAGCTCTGATGCTGCACTGAGGAAGTCCTGCATCCCTTCAAAGGAAAAGAAAAAAAACATCTCCAGTCACCAAGTTGTATTTCTGCTTTTACTGAAATAAAACTCAAAAAACACTTCTAGCCAATATTTACATATTTGATCCAATTACTCTGCAAACCCTCCTGGTTAATAAGGTCCAGACTCTTACAGTAATTATCAGAAGTTCTTACAATGAAGCACTGTGCTTTTGGGAAGGCTCAAATGTCTGCTGAACACTTAACCAGCAGTTCCCAAGTCCAGGAGATGTTCCTGTAACACAGTATTTCCCCAGCTGCCCCTGAAGGCAGCAGCATTTTCAGAACACAAACTGCTTTCCAGACACTGAAACCACCCAGTAACAGGTAAAAGGGCATTTTATAGTGATGGCAGATCGGATCATTGGTTTGAAAAATCCAAGACGGGTTTTGTAATAAAAGTCTCACTCAGGTCCCAACATCATTTCTCAGTTTTCTGTGTTAGCACTGGACAGCTCTGATTTCCACCTCAGCATCCAAACAGAAGGCTTTTGCAGGTAGATTCACTCTGCATCTCTAAAGTCACACACAGTGCATAAAACGCCCCAAGTTAAAACCTTTTGTGTCTTCTTCCACATCCTGCTGCTCTGTCTGTGCTTCATTTCTCCACCAGTTGTGTCTTCCCAGTTAATGCAGCCTCTCCTGTGCTGCTCAACTGCTCGAGCCCCAGCGATCTGTGTTTTCAGGTAAATACACTCCCATGCTCTGTAAGATGTTGGAGGTGGGTCCTGCCAGGCCAGCCTGAGCACTGTAGGATTCCAGCAGGTTGGCTACCAGGTTCATATCCACATCAACTGGTGCCAAATCCGGGTCTTCAGCTCCACAGTCAGGGCCAGCGCGCTCAGATGGAGCTGCTTTAACAGAACTTGCCTACGGCAAGTACAAAGTGAAAGTTTTATCAAACTGCATAAACAGATTGAAAAAAAAAAAAAAGAAAAACCGCGAGGGAAAAGAAACAAGGAAACAATTCTGCAGCCAGCAAAGTCCAGCACGTTCCACAGTCCTGACAGACAGGAATTTAGCCACCAAATGCTCATGCCAGCTAAAAATCATCACTGTCCACTACACACTCTGAGTTCCAAGGGAAGGACAGAGAGTGTTGCTGAGTCCTGGCTCAGCTTCCTATGGGAGCAAACTACTACAGGAACTCACAAGTTAAGCTGCAGCTGCTCGCCTCACTACTGAAAAATCAAACTAAGTCTTGGAAAAGAGGTGCAAGTTAAAGCTTAAAATGCACTATTATGGTGCAACCACAGCACGCTTTGCTTGCACGTGGGAAGGTTTTTGATCAGCACATTTCCACTTTGCTACTAAGGCTCTCAAAACTCCCATGCTACAAACTGGAGCTCAAGGCATACTCACCCCTTTCTTTTGGGTGGTGAAACTTTTCCCAACATTGGTCTGTGCCAGCTCACGGTCCATCTCATCCATGTATGACTTGAGGCTGCCTATGAGCTCATCAGGTGATACCTTCTGGTCTTGCCCTTCATTTCCAGCACCTGAGTCTTCATCATCCTCGTCTGAGAAACCAAACTCCTCCTCTTCATCCAGATCATCAGAATCCAGCTCCTCTGAGTCTGCCCCTAGGTATTATTTTGTGTCAGTACAGACAGCAAACATGTCAGCAGTGATTTGTTTCAAACAAAGAAGCAGTCTCACCTAAAATTCTGTCTAAGGCTTTTGTAAAAGAATCTACATCAAAGGTAACGTGGGATTCGTCAGATGACCTGAAACAGAAAAGCATTTTTAACTAAATAAAGCTTTTATGCTTGCCTAAGCCCAACACGGGCATAATGGCACAGTGATTTCTCTGAAGCCCAGATTAAAGTTGGGACATTTGAACTGAAGGTCTCAGAAGTGCTCAGAAGTTTGAAGCCTCTGTGGGTTAGAAACGAAACCGTGGGTGGAGGAATTCCTGGCATGAAAGAGAAAAGTTTTAAAGACCACAAAGCCAAACTAAGTAAGAGAGTGGCAGAAAATAGCTCAGCTTCCAGCATTTTTACCTGCACCAGTGTTGGAGCGGTCACCAAGTTGGTTTAAGAGCAACTCTGTATATTCACTATTCCCACAGGTTTGCTGCAGGCCTCTGCCAAGCAGAGCACTTTCAAACCCTGATTCTCTACATCCCAGAATCAACCAAAGGGCTGCAGCACAGTGAAACTCCCTACAGCTGACACCAAGCTCCAAACCAGCCCTACCATGGCATTTCTGCTCCTTCGTGTGTGGACACTTTGGACACAAAGGCCTTCATGCTCTCAGCAACCGCTTCCAAGTCGTATTTCTGCTCTTCCCCACTTGCGGAAGGAAGGGACTCATTTCCTGCCTCCTTCAGCATCTGATCCAGAGCATCTGGTGTAATATCCAGCCAGCTGTCATCTGAAGGAACACAGGACAG